GCCTAAGAAGTTACCATTAGATTCTTCAAAAAGTCTTTCATTTTTCCCACGAAAAGCTATATTATTCTTTGCTAGACATTTAACAACAGCAATTATTCTAACCAAAACTTCTTTCCAATGATCAGTATCCTTTTTTATCAAATGAAAGACAATCAGGGCTCAAATAAAATTCTAAATTCTAATTTTATGGTTGTCATTTGTAAAACAGTAAAACAGCCCAACAAACCATAATCATAGAATCACAGCTTCTATAAAACAGTGAAACAAAAACAATCAGTTTCCCAATCAAACAACTTTAAAACAGTGAAACAAAACAATCAGTTTCCCATCAAACAATTCTAATTTTATGGTTTCATTAGTTTTTAACAAGTGAAACAAACCATAATCAAAGAATCACTCAATCACAGCTTCGAAAGTTTCATTATTAGGTTTCCCAAACAAACAAACTAAAGTTTCATACTTTCATTATTAGGTTTCCCAATCAAACAACTTTAAAATTTTCAAAAATAAAGTAAATAAATTAATAACCTAGGTTAAAACTTAAAAGACTTAATTGTTAAATCCCTAACCTCAATGTCAATGGCTCAATACTCACAATCACAAGACTACAAGAGAGAGCAGAGAGGGCGGAGGGCGATGGGCGATGGCCGATGGGCTTGATCGACCGGCGACTGAGCAGTGAGGCTGAGTGAGGCAGAGAGAGAGCGTCGAGCGAGGGCGAGGGCGAGGGCGAGGGCGAGAGCGAGGGCGAGAGCGAGAGCGAGGGCGGGAGCGAGAGCGAGAGCGAGGGCGGGAGCGAGAGGCGAGAGCGAGCGATAGCGATTGAGGAATGAGGATGAATCGTGAAATTCGATGATGGATATGGACTAAGTCTAACGTAAAAAAAAAATTTGGCCCAAACTGAACCTAATACATATATTGGGCTTAAAAAATTTTGATGCCCTCTCCACTTTTGATGCCCTGGGCCGTCGCCCCTTTGGCCTAGGCCCAGGGCCGGCCCTGCCAGTTGAGGTTGTGTACTCTGTTAACAACTAGCTCCTCGCTAGTCCTTTCTTCCGTTCTTAATAAATTCTTTCTTGCGGTCCAAAAAAAAATTATTTTCATAAAAAGGTATAATAGAAAATAAATATATTCTATTTTTATTATAATAATAATACTTTAATATGAATTTTAATGTTTTCTTATGTGATTGGAGATGATTTTTTTATGTTCAATTGGTTCATAATTTTTAATGATTTTTTAATAGTTAGATTGAAGATGGAGTTAATTAAAATAATAATTTTTGTCAAAAATAAAAATGAAAAACGAATCCAAGAGAACGAGTTCCCGTATAAAGATGATTCCGGCCGGTATGTGATTAGCATGAGATGTCTAGTTAGGAGTGTCATTCACCCAGCTATATGCATCTGTATACACATATACATATATACATATATATATCTATGGGTCTAATCAAATGAGAACTGTTTTTTTTTGTTCATCGTAAGATCCGATCTCAAGCACAAAACAAAGCTTAAATTAAGAAATTAATAATTTTGGTAATTTTAACTTAAAAAATTAATTAAGGTCATTTTAGAGTTTTTAAAAATATATTTTGTCATCTCTCCTATTTCCTCTCTCAGACGAATTTTATTCGACGAACATTATTTCGATGAACTTTGTGTGAACATAAGATACAAACTGTGATACTTACAAATGATATTTATTGTGATACCCAGATATACATACAAGATGCATCATATGATACCATTTGTAAAGCAATGAAAACAACGAAAATACATACTATGATATATATTTCATAAAACAAAGAAAATACATCGTGATACACGTGATTGTTTGAACGTTATCACTATGATACATTTTAATTCACAAACGTATTAAAAATACAATATATATTAGGTCATTGATATACTAGGTAACCAATTTTAATTAAATATTTTCTTCGAAAAAAATAATTTAACATTTTCATTAGTTGTCAAAACTAGAATTATTATATTACCCTTTTAACTTACTTAAGAAATATCCTTAAATATCTCACACGAGTGGTTCACATTGGATCTCACGTTTACCACAAACTAATCAGTTATTCCTTAAAAATTGGCTCATATACATACATTATATATATATATATATATATATATAGAGAGAGAGAGGGATGTTATTCTACACTCTTTGCCATTCCTACACCCTATACAACCCTCATCTCAACCATTCAATTTTTAATCAATTAATTGTTTCCTAATATAAAGTATTAATCATAATTAATAAACTCTATTCATATTCCATAAATATTCAAATCATAATAAATGAACTCCAATCATTTCTATAAATATCTCAATTAATTGGGTTGCAAAGGTTGTACAAATGCACAAGGTTGTAAAAGAAATATACCATATATATATATATATATATATATATATATATATATATATATTAATGTACAGACCGTAAATGATATAAAATCCGTCTAAAATTTGGAAATCACTGTGAAAATCAGTTTCATATATTATTTTAGTTCATATGTAGATTAAAAAAACACATGTAAAACCAATCAAAATCATCTATTGAGTTTGATTTTAATCTATAATTCAAATTGTTTCACATATTTTGTTTTTATCTATGAGTATTTTGTGTATGTTTCATATCAAAACGTATTTTTATGTCTTCTTCACACGTATAACATTCATTAACATTTGACAACACGGTATGAACACCGTATCCTCATATATGTTGTTCCATTTATGAAATAACACATACAAATAGGTTTTTCAAAAAAATTATATGTTTTGCCCCCTACATACGTACACACACATATACATATATATATATAGAGAGAGAGAGATGGAGGTTCAAACGAGAACAATAACCAAATAAAAGAACACTAAAACAATCAAATCATGCACAAAATCATGTGGCCTTACACTACAAAACAATTTTTTTTTTACCCACAAAAATCACATAGAAAATACCATTGGTTCTTGTAAAATTCGATGTTTTTCAAGAAAATCCAAATGATAACCCAGAAAAAAACCTGAATAATGATTTGAGTTGTCCACCAACAATTTACTCACCAACCTTTGTGACGGTTTTGTGACGAATCACCCCTTAAACGATGGATTTCTAAGGGAAAAATTCGTAGTTAAAAGTCTTCCT